GGGGGGGGGGTTTTTTGGTTTGTTTTGTTGGGGGTTGGGGTTGGGGGGGGGGGTTGTGGGGTGGTTTTGGTTTTTTTGGTGTTTTTTTGTTGGTGTTTTGTTGGGGGGGGGGTTTGGGGGGGGGGGGGGGGCGCAGACAGCAGTGCTGGGGTGTGTGTGGCTGTTTTTGTGTGGCTGTTGCGATAGGACGAGCAGGGTAAGCCCTGTGGTGGGCAGGGTGTTGTGTTGTGTGTGATGGCTGTTGCGGTGGCAATATGTGAAGAGCGGGGAAATGGATTACTGTATGACGGTCGGTTTGTTAAGGGCTGCCTGCAGTCGCGGAGCTTACGAATTGCCCCCACTGCTGTGTTTGTATACATAGGCGAGGGTCGGGGTGCCCGGCAGGAACGAGCGCAGGCAAGAAGACGATTGTAAAAGGGAAGGCGACAGAAACTCCAATTGCAAGTTGACAGCAGGCGAGAAAAGGCTTCCATGGGGATCGTCAGGGTTCGCGAAGCGCTCGATTTTGGGAGGGGTTTTTGTGCGTTCTGCGATGGGACCTTAGTTTTTCTGGTGAGAGGCTGCATCGGTGGCAGCAACAAGAATGGCATCGGGATCCGTATGGCTCTGCTTGCATGGTGTATCCGAGAACAGACTGGCGTGTTGGTTGGTTAAGTGCCTATGAATTTGAGCAAGAGGCTTGAGAGGCAGCAACGGTTTCAAGCACGTGCTTCTCTATTGATCTATTGAGAGTGTGAGACGTGTCGTTCTGTTTCTGAACCACGGGACCAGCGTTTCTACTATTGGAGGCTCGCCAGAGGTCGTAGCATAGCTGCCTCCCAGACCTCTTTTATGTTTTTTTATATGTATTCCTTGATGTCTCCCATGGGTGTAAAACGTCGGACGCTTTTGCTCGTAAACGCACGGTTGCTGTAGAGCGTTACGAGAAATGTGCGGCGGTTTCTTTTCATAGCACGCACCAGGCTTTGTTGGCAGTTTGACATTTGGTGTGCCGCCGTTTCAGTGTGTGCACGCCAAGGTCGAGTGAGTCGGAACAGCTTGGGAGACTTGCAAACGCTGTGGTAGAGAGGCGGTGTACACAAGAGGGAGGGGCGTTTGGTTTGGTTGAGCGCTCGACGTAGCAGGCACCTAAGTGCAAGTGGAGTGCGCGCGTGTCGTGGTACTTGGGCCAAGAGTGGATGGATGCAACTTGGCTGGGATTAAATGCTCCTACACGTGGTATTTACCACACGGTAAGAATGCCATCTTTATTTAAGCTTGATGAAAGGGATATTCTCGAGAGCACTTGATTTAGTCCGCATCTCCGAAGCAAGACATTTTTTGTTTGGTGGGTTTTCGCTATGATGTGACAAAAGATTCTCATTGCATGAATACTGTAGGCGGCAGCACCGAGAGTAGGCACGCGTTCAGATCTATCTTAAAGAGACCTTGAACATTTCGGCGGCGAGAGTGTATTTGATACATGCGTGGAATAACGAGGGAAGAAGGGGGTGGGTGCGGGTGAGCCGTATGGGCCATTAGTGCCGTTTATTCCAACCCGTGGTCACACAGAAGAGCCTCTCTCTACCCTCCCCTCCTGCGGTACTTCGCCTTCAATTTTTAATGCGAGAAGAGTTCAGCACTCTCTTCCCTCTGTGTACACACGAACTAGCGCTATCCACTTGGCCAGGAGCGGAAGCGAGTGAAAAACTCACTTTGCAAGAAAAGCTCGCCTACGCCGGGATTCGAACCCACCCCTGACCTGACCTCTAGAAGGTTACGAGGCTACCAACTAGACCACCGGGGCATAATATGACACAACGAATCCATCTCTATCATAGAAAAGAGTCTGAGACAGATTAGCAATGAATTCATAGCGTCAGAAAGTACCTGTATGTCTACGATTTCCCAGACAGCATATATTAATATATAATATAGGGATATAGGGACATCTCCCCTGCGGGTAACAGGCTCAACAAGACAGTTTGGTAGCTGTCTTGTGTGTCTCATATATATATGTTATGTTGGGAAGGTGCAGAAGAAATGTGTTTTGTTCGTGGGGGTTTGGTGGCGCCGGTTCGCGGGGCTCTTCGATTTAGCAAATAAATAAATACGGTATTTTAGTATTCTTTCTGTTTGCATCCTGTACAAAACGTGTACTACTGCTGCTGCTGCTGCTGCTGTATATATATATGTCGAAGCATGACCGACTGAGGACAGACCGTGAGGAAACGCAGCCAGCCGGCAACCAGCAGTGGGCTAGTCCTTCCTGCTGCCTGCTTTATTTTCATCTTGCATCATCCCTTATGACGCTGCTGCTGCTGTGCTCTTATGAGTCCGCTCGGCAGCGTCATCCTGTGGACTAAATATTTGCGGTGTTACATTCCCCAGAAAGAACGTTCGCGGAAAGTGTTGTAGAGAAGAACAGACAATGCTGCTGTTGCGCCCGACACGTTGGTCTGCACTCTGCAACAGTTGTAGTTCAGTGCAGGTGGTTGATGAGGAGATGGAAATGCCAAGTGCTGTGTTTCAGCCGGCGTATTTAGCTGGGCGAGCCACATGAATCTGTTTGTGATTATTATGCGGGGGAACTTCTTCAACTACCATGCTGGTTGGTACTTTGCAACTACGGGACCCCTCAGGCTGCTGTCTCTTCATGTGTAGCGCAGGCCATACCACAGCCAAGACACGCCGCCGTGTCGTTGACACCCAGACCGAGAGAGAAGAGTGACAAAGAGACTTGGCCCTGCAGGTTTTCCCTCTCCAAAAACCCTCGAGTTCACCACAACGAGGTCTACGAGAGGAGAGGGCATAAAAAAGGGCCATTCTCTTGCTTCACCCGGGGAGACAACCAACCAGCACGCACACGTCAAACATTCGAAATCGTCCTCCTCATCATGCACCTGTACCCGAAGCGGGCTCTCCTCCAAGGGGCGGAGCTGGAGATCTTCAAACTCCTCTCCTTTGGCGCCACTCCAGAGCAATGGGCGGAGTGGCTCCGGGCTCCGCTCGAGCACGCCGCGGCCCGCGGCAATCTTGGCCTCGTCGAGAGACTGCTCAAGGCCGGGGCCAACGGCGGGGCAGGGTGGAGAGGATGCCGCGGGCGGACAATGCTCGACGCCGCTGCACTGGGCGGAAACCCGGACGTGGTGGCGACGTTGCTTGCATCGGGTTGTGCTTCGGATGTGAACGTGGTGTCGGTGTTGTCGAGGAGGTCCGCCCTGCACGTGGCCGCTGTGTGCGGCCACGAAGCGGCAGCGAAGAAGCTGATCATTGCCGGAGCCGACGTAAACCGGGTCGACCCAGGGGATGCATGCGTCTCGTTGCATGTCGCCGTTGAAGGGAGACACGGTGACTTGGTAGACTTGTTACTGATCGGCGGAGCTTGTCCCAATTCTCGCACCAGGGTCGGCCGTACGCCGCTACACCTTGCTGCTGCAAGCGGCAACAATCGTGTTGTGTCGACCCTGCTCGGCAGCAGCGGCAACAATCGTGTTGTGTCGACCCTGCTCGGCAACGTCAGGACCGATGTCGACGCGCTCGACAGCAGGGGGTTTCCCCCACTTATGGTGGCGTCTGAAGGAGGCCACTGTTCTACCGTCTAGGCTCTCCTGCGGGCTGGTGCCCGCATGACCCTACGTCATGCTGGAGCCCATCTTCGCATGACGGCAATGGATATAGCGGCATCAAATGAACACGTTGGGGTGATCGAAGCTATTGTTGAGAACGGTGGTAGCGTGAGAGCTACCGACCCCCTCGGCTTGACTGCTTTGCACCACGCCCGCGGGGGAGAGGTGGCAGACGTGCTTCTCGATGCTGGGGCCGATGTCAGCGCCAAATTATGTCCGACATTGCTTGGGTTTACACCTATCCTCGTGTGCGCCATGGACAACAGGTGCGAAGCCGTGGTTGCCCTTTTGAAGCGGGGGGGCAACGTCAGTGACACGAGCTGCGGTGGAATGTCCGCGTTGCATTTGGCATGTGGAAGTCTGTCGCGAGGTATTGACAGAACGGTTGACCTCCTGTTGAGATGGGGGGCGTCGGAAACCGCAGTCAACGACGACGGTCTAACACCCTCCGACATCCTTAAAGCGACGACCGCCGAATCCAATGCACGCGACGCCGGTGGCGGTGGTAGCACCGAACATCGTGTAGGCGACCCTGCAACCCGCCATGACTCGTTGGCACAAGAGATGCAGCGCGAGAGTGCTGCTGGCGCGTGCTCCGGCGGACCGGACGTGGCGCCGCCGTTGCTGGCTGGTCATGCTTCGCGCGAGGGCAGAGAGGGAGAGGGGAGCGCATCCCAGCGGCAGCGGCAGCGATCGAACCGAGGCAGCGATCGGACGAAATCTACCGGGTCATGAAGAGGCGGACGGCCGCAGCAACAAAGTGGGAAAAACAGACGCCGGCGCAGTAGGCGAGCGTAGTTGGCCTACGGATGACGAAAGGGGTGGTGCCGGCAGGGCGAGGAGAGGGGCGGCGGCTGGAGAAGGAGGCTTGGTCCCGGCTCTTTTGGGTCTCGAATCGGAGGAAGTGTTCCGGACGATCGTTTGCTTTCTATGACAGCCGCAGGTACGCGCGTTCGTTGCAGTTGGCATCTGTTCTGTTTCTATTGCCCTTTGTTTTTTCCCCATCAGTTCTCGTTTCGTTCTTCTTGTGCTCTACTATAATGTTTCTGGGTCTTTGTGATTGCCTTTGGTGTACCCGTTTGGGGTAGTTGGCCTGTGACCAAGGCAGGCATCCATCGGCGTCAGTTGGACCGGTGGGGATACATAATGGTACTGAGCAGAGACCGGAACGTGTTTTTGATGTCAAGACAAAAACAACAACACCTTCTGCTTGTTGCACAGCAGTACAGGTGGAGATGCACTTCGTCCATCTCTCTCGTGCTTTCCATCGGTCGATCTTCGTTCATGTTGTTACCCTTGGTCCTAAATGCGGCATCTTTGACTGGCAGCGTTGGACCAAGAAGAAGTGGAAGAATCGGAAAAATCAAGCTATACTGAGATTAACCGCTCTATTGACCTTTTTTGGGTCTAGGAAGCGAGCGTACGGGAGAGAGGGACGAAAGTACAGCAGAAAGAGACAGAGGCAGCAGCTATATCCACCCATAGGCCATGAGGGCAGCCCGCGACAGGACGGTGGGCACAGACAGGATCATATAAGGGTTGATGCGTGGTTGCGGTGCGGCCGGTAGGGCAGGTTAGGCTTAAAGATCAGTCGTCAAGCCGCCTAAACTAGTCTGTTAAAATATGTTCAAATGATCAGTGAAAATGATCAGTGAGAGGGCTTGTAGCTGGTTTTTGTGCTTCTTTACTTTTCTGTCCCCTCCCCAATGTGAGCCCTGTCGGCTCACGACAGCTCCTGTGATTTTCCCACAATTCCCGCAAGCACGCAGGCACACCAGCACACACCTACCTTTGCATCAGTGGCTCTCTAGGTTAGGGCGAGGGTATTGTGGGGCTATGATGATAGTGGATATGTTAAAACTGTATGTTGAATTCGTCTATGCTGCTGTGTAGTATAGGTGCTGACACGATGACAGCTTGATCTTGGGAGTGTACGATTTTCAAATTTGGAGGATATGCAGCATACTGTACCACGATGTCCTGGTCTGGTTGGGCTTGAAGTGCCCCTTTTCGCTGTCCTCCTGTCTTTGCTTTAGTGGCTTCCTGGATTCGGGCGAGGGCATGTATGTGGAGCTATTGATGTGTGTCTCTGTGAAAGGATTTGGGAAGAGATTCATGTTGGCATTCGCATTTAGAGCAGTGTGCATTTTTCGAATTTTCCGTTCCAGGGACCTCGATATTACCCGCTGGCAGTAACGTCTTTTTCTTTTCATTGATCACTGGGTAGCGCGGCCGATGCGAATAACAAAGAGACACCTACCTATAGACTTGCCAACACGTGGCGTGGAGGGATACAGGGCCGCAACTCCATGGCATGCCACAACACGAGCATTCCCAAATGATCAATCAATGATCTGTCAGGACGCCTGTAGACCCAAAAGGGTTAGGAAGCAGCATCGTTCGTGTATGTGAAGGTCTGGCGGGCCGGTGTCGGCCCGTACCAAAAATCACCTACAATCATGAGGATCGATATATACGTACCACCCTCGTCGTAGTGTCCCAACAACAGCGCAAGATTGACACACCCTGACGCTGGTCCTGTCCATGTGATGCTGACCTTTTGGGTCGCTGCCGCCCCGACCCATGTTGACTCTGTGACGTCAGGCGCTAACGGCTCGCGTGCGACACCGGCGGCGGGCTACAACCTGCAGTATCCCGTCGATGTTTGTGTTGGGATTGATCCCAGTCCCCCTGGGTTTGTACGTCATTAAGGCCGAGCGTGATGCACAACTCGACCCTGGCAACTCACCGGTGGGAGTTAAAATCAATCGACATTGGGGGGTCGAGACGGAAAGCGTCGGATGAAGGCCGAGAATCCAGGCGGAAATGCGGAGGCTGAATGTTGTGTGTGGCGTTATGTTATCATTCGGTCCGCGCCTCGTTTACAGGGTAATTGGAGGTTGGAGATGCCGGTGCGATTGCCCGTCCGTGCTGTGACTAGATCGGCAAACATGCCGAGGGGGCACGCACATGGTTATCTGCAGCGAGGTTTCAAGCTTGGTAGATATCCGTAAGAAGGAAAATGTCCATGGTACTATACCACTGCTGTACAAGCCTCGTGTGGTAAATGGGGAGGATGAGGTGATCTCCGATTGGTGTTCGCGGTGCGGTGTTTTGGACGGAACGGTTGAAACCCCTTCTCGGTGAGAGGTGTGCCAGTAAGCCGCAGACAAACGTATTCTTAGGGAGCGCAAGCTACAATACTCCGTCGCATGGTTAAAACCGCAATGCAGTCGGTCGCGTTTTTTCCACGGTGTCGCGGTTTTTCCGCGGTACGAATCTCACATAAGACATGTGTGTGTGCACTACTTGGATACCATGCGTGCACGGCCACACCAACAACTCCATGCCCACACGATTTCTGCGCACACAAATGTAACTCCCGTATGTTGAGAAAGTTGAAGTGCAACAAACAAACAACAAACAGTATCTATCCAACCAAGCTGCCCGTGCGGGAGATCGAGTGTTTGGCGAGGTTGTGTCTACTGGGTTTTAACTTTTAACTACGTTCTTAAGGCGTGAAAGATGAATACGGGAGACGCGAGGTGTTTCTTACCAAACGTACAACAAGGGTGGAAAGTAAGACACAACTCTTCTTGTTGTACGCGTTGCAGGAACGTAAGGATCGAAGAGATTTCATTGTGGGCATCAAATGGTGATGTGCTTGACTTCTTGATACATCGACTCTTGTTTGTTTGGGCTGTCCTGGGCGCGAGCACACGTACGTACAGCATCACAGACGGCCAAGCAGGTGTATTTTTTCTCCCGACATGCACCAAACCCAACGTATTTCGAGAATCACCAAGTGGAAGTTCGTCATGCTGTATGGATAGTATCCGCGTACATAGGTTTCGTTGCTTTTCTGACGGCGCACTGCTGTCGAACAAGGCCCCAGTTTCGCGTGATCTGTTGTACAAAATAGACCAAATCGGTCGTTGACATCGGACAAAGAAACGTAGTCCGACGAAAGGCCATAGCTTCTCGCTCGACGTCAACAATACCGACTTGCTTCATAGTTTCCTGACAAGAGAGTTTTCCAAATTGGTTTACTTGCCAATCGTCGTAGCACTAACTCTTCACGCTTTTTAGACTACAGGAGCTTGGCATAGACCAGATCTACCTATACAAACCACGGGAATCAAGCTACGAGCCTTGCCACCGAGGCATAATACTCTTCATTACGGCAACTACGGCATGCTAAACGCTCTCAACGGAAGAAACGTGCACCTGGAACGACGTCTCTCGGTACTACTTCAACGTTCTCTTTCTTATCCTAACGGAACACAAACGGAGGATGGACAAGAACATGTCCACAACAATAAAGGGGCGCACACTCACGGGGCTCTTTTCTCTCCAGGGGCACAACAAAGTGGGAAACTCTCGTGGGAACCGCATATCTAGCGGAAAAAACTGATCCGTCAACTTCAACGCGGGACGTCTTGATGGGCAACGAATTCCAGACACAAACAGATGAAGGCGTTCTCCTCCACCGGGACTGCGGCCAACTCTTGTCGCAGGCAACTCCGAGAAAAAAAGAAAGCGTCATTTGTCTCGGAAAACCCACAACATGCGGCGCAAATTCCACGATGGATGCTGCCCACGCTGGTCATCTTTACCTTTTACCGGCTTCAAACTTGGTTTCCGCCTCGAGATTCTTCTCCAAGCAGGCAACGAGTGTCGTTGACAAAAACGAACTACCTCGTCGCTCGTTATCCCCACACATTACCACAAAAGGATCTCCTCAAGCTCTTCAATCGACGTCCAGCAAACCTGTTTCAGGATCGCCAAGACCCCCAAAACACCAAGCATGCTTACCCCCAGCATGCGCCCCTCGCCCCCAGCAAACATTTATTTATATTGATCAAACCTACCACCGATATCGAAAACCCTCCGCAGTAACTGCGTGTTCATCTCTGATGTAACGGCAAAGCGAAAACAGGGGGACACACCCTCAGCGGCATCCACGAGATAACCATTACTGTCTCCGGGAAACAAGACAGTATTTCAAAATACGAACACGAAGGGCCAACAGAAACACGAACAAAACCAGCACCGGCATAACAACCGCAAAGACTATCCGGGGCTGGTCCTAAATCTATACTCATTCGCGGGCAACCGCAACAAAAATATGGTATTGGAAAACCAGGCAAGGACGGGACAGCACACATGGAAACCTAGGAAATACCCCCCTACTTCTCTGATGGCTTACTCGGGAGATTGCCTCGAACGGCGTCCCACCAACCTTGGCCCCTCCAAAAACTACTGGAATTTTCAACAATTTTCAGTAAATATACAAAAAAGTGCCACCGAACATCATTCCACCCTTGAGAAGGAAAGCCGAAATATTGAGCACCTCGGCCGTTACCGGCTGCAAGCAAACCGGGCACATCTTTTTTTCGTGGTTGTCACCGTCCGTTGTAGGCTTGTGAAAGAAAATGTAAATGGCTTCGCCGTTTTACATCATCTGGTCGTCGAGCTCTTCGTCCTCGTCGTACTCTCCTTCGTCTTCGATCGTGGCGTCCTGGTACTGCTGGTACTCCGACACGAGGTCGTTCATGTTCGACTCGGCCTCCGTGAACTCCATCTCGTCCATGCCCTCGCCGGTGTACCTGACCCCAGGAGCAAGCACGCACCAGGGATGAAAACATCAACGCAACGGCCAGTAGTGAGCAAAGGAATCGATGCCTTCATCACAAGCATCGTGAAAAAATACCGGAAAAACGAATATCAGGCGGCTTGCGCCAAAAACAAGGGACGAAACACCACACCAAGAGCGGTGAACACGACCGAAAACGTGGCAAGTCTCCTAAGTACGAGCCAAGCAAATGCAATAAGAAGCCGCATCCTCTTACATGTCCGCTACTTACCAAACCGCCCCGTGACAACCGCACACAGCACACACAACATCTAACCCGGTGGCAATACCTCTGGGCAAAACACAATTTCTAATCAAGTCAAGTCCTAAGGGGCACAGAAACGGACGCTCGTTGCAGTCCATCTCACCGCCAACCAAACACGAAAGTGGCTGCGGCAAACTCACCAGTGGAGGAAGGCCTTTCTGCGGAACATGGCCGTGAACTGCTCGGCCACGCGCTTCCACACCTCCTGGATGGCGGTGGTGTTGCCCACGAAGGTGGTGGACATCTTGAGACCCTTGGGGGGGACGTCGCAGATGGAGGCCTTGACGTTGTTGGGGATCCACTCCACGAAGTAGGACGAGTTCTTGTTCACCACGGCGAGCATCTAAACGATAAAAGGCCGGCGACCGTACAAGGATGAGGTTTGGACAAGAATACACTCGCCACGATGTGGGTTTGCTTTGGCATGCATGGGTCAAGGACGAAACGCCATGCTTTCATAAAAAAATCGATTAAACCACCGAACACGCCCTCAACGCAACGGCGTGGCCAGTATACAACATCATCCTACCCACTTCGTTTCACTCCGTGTACTGTACAAATACGGGACGACACGGCCTCCCCCAAAAACACAACACATATTGTAACTTGATAGAAACATGCGTGTCCAAGTCATGCTCACCTGCTCGTCCACCTCCTTGGTAGACATGCGGCCACGGAACATGACGGCGCACGTCAGGTATCGGCCGTGCCGGGGGTCGGCGGCGCACATCATGTTCTTCGAGTCGAAGCACTGCTGGGTCAGCTCTGGCACCGACAGCGCGCGGTACTGCTGGGAGTTGCGAGAGGTCAGCGGAGCAAACCCGATCATGAAGAAGTGCAGCCGAGGGAACGGCACCATGTTGACCGCGAGCTTGCGGAGGTCGCAGTTGAGCTGCCCAGGGAAGCGGAGGGAGCACGTGGTGCCGCAGATGGCGGCCGACACGAGGTGGTTCAGGTCACCGTAGGTGGGCGTGGTGAGCTTGAGGGTGCGGAAGCAGATGTCGTAGAGGGCCTCGTTGTCGAGGGTGAAGCACTGGTCGGCGTTCTCGACCAGCTGGTGCACGGAGAGGGTGGCGTTGTAGGGCTCGACAACGGTGTCGGACACCTTGGGGGAAGGGATGACCGAGTAGGTGGACATGATCCTGTCCGGGTACTCCTCTCGAACCTGAATTTTTGTTCACACGGGGGAGAGACTCACGGGTTCAGATTTGGGTTGGATCATTGTCGGCAAATTGAGCGCAGACAGAAGAGAGTGCTCGCAACGTGGTGAAGAGAAAACGGGAACGACCCTCTTGACTTTGACGGCTGTTGTCCCTCGTTGATGTCAAAAGGTACGACCCCCGTGTAGGCACCACTACAGACAAAACGTGCGATCACGACTTCGGTATGTTGAATGACGGGACACGAGGCCATGACAAGACATAAAAAATCGGGTACCTGACAAACGTTGATCGCGGGAACGAACGGACGGCATTCATGTTACATTACACACACAACATCAGCACTACATCGGCCACAAAACAGATGAACGGAGCGTTGTCTATCCTTGAATTCGAGAAAACCACGTACTTCGGACACATGTCCTCTCTGTCTTGAGATCAACACGCCCGCCAAGCCCATTTCCAACCTACACCAGCGAATGGAAACCCCGCCAGCCGCACCTTGGAGATGAGCAGCGTGCCCATACCCGCTCCGGTCCCACCTCCCATGGAGTGGGTCAGCTGGAAGCCCTGGAGCGAGTCGCAAGACTCCGCCTCCTTTCGCACCACGTCCAGCACCGAGTCTATAAGCTCCGCGCCCTCCGTGTAGTGGCCCTTGGCCCAGTTGTTACCCGCGCCGGTCTGCCCGAACACGAAGTTGTCAGGCCTGAACAGCTGCCCGAAGGGCCCCGAGCGAACCGAGTCCATGGTTCCGGGCTCGAGGTCCATGAGGATGGCGCGGGGCACGTAGCGGCCGCCGGAGGCCTCATTGAAGTAGCAGTTGATGCGCTCGAGCTGGAGGTCGGAGTCACCGTGGTAGACACCGGTGGGGTCGATGCCGTGCTCGTCGGAGATCACCTCCCAGAACTTGGAACCGATCTGTACAATGGAAAACGAGAATCAACAACGCGGTTTAATATTTTGCGCGTGCTTCGTGACTCGATGTTGTACGTCGGAGAGGTTGTCGCTTTACGGGAAAGACGTCGTGAACATAAACGGCATCGTGCGGTGTATTTTGCTATCGCTGTCTCAACATCGTTTTGCCGGGAACGCTTTTTTGAAACCACACGGTTGCACTTGTTCCGTCGGAATGTTCACCAGCCACGGTCGGTACATCCGTGAATAGCGGCATTTGTACTTTTGGACGTTCGTCGTTCCTGTTTGAAAACAGGTGGGACACGTGCATTTCGCTAGAATCTATCAAGCTCAGTTAGAAACGAAGCGTGGTCATGTGCAAAAAATATGTGTGCCCTATGGTTATTCCCCAGAGCGTAATGGCCAAACCCGCGAAGGCTCTTCGTCACCTCCCGAAACAGGAATATGAACAAAAGAGCAGAGTGCGAGGAAGCATCGCCAAGGGATGGGAATATAGAGCCAGTGCGGTGCGGAGCCGCGTCAGGACGAACCCGACAGCGTCCTCGACGCGTGCAAATCTGTTTGTTTGATCTTGAGCTTTTCGCCGCGCTTGTGCCTCATGAAAGGAGAGGGATCGATTCCGTGTTCCTGCCCCAGCCATGACCACTCGAGGTGGGATAGACTTAGGTGAGAACAAAAAATAAAACCCTCTCTGAGCGCGCTGAAAGGCGAGGGAGCGATGCCGCGGCCTGTGTAAACCACGCGTTCGCATCCCAGCTCGAATATGTCCTAAATGTACAAATTGTATGCTGTCTTCGTCACAACGGTACTACTATAACCGCCAGAAACACGTTCCTTCAAGGGTATTGCAGGAACAGGTTAGCGTAACCTGCAAGTAAGTTACCGAGAACCAATAAACGTACGCTGTGAGAAACGGTCAGTACCGAACTAAACTGCGTGTGCGGGAAATATACATTAAAAGCTCGGTGTCATAGATGATCGCATATGCTGTCGTAGACACACATTGGCGGGAGATAATCCTACATACAGATCAGTACACCATAACGGGCTTGATATTGATGGGCCACATTCTCGCCGAGGTTTGTCGGCGTTGTAGTCTCAAGCTCCTCGGGTTTTTTTTCAGGCAAGCCGCTACGGCAACACTCGAGAGCACGAAACACAGCAAGAACAACGTAACTGGATCGTACTCTTCGCGCTCCTTTTAAATACAAGTTCAAGATGTTGCTGGGTGGACAGCAGTAAAAAAATCATTTCTTCATGCCGTATGTACCAGCGACAGCACTCTTGGCAAGTGGCCAGCTTTCGGGCACGTGCCGAAAACCAACGTTTGATATATTTCAAAGAAAAAAAAAAAAAAAGACCACAGGCGGGTGGGGAATGTGGCGTCTTTTCCAAAAAATATTCTTTGGTACAACATGGCCGTGCGTTGTCTCTCTACTACCGTAGCTTTTACACAGCAGCAGCAGTGACTGCACTACATCAGTGCTGCTGTATGCTTGAACAGGGTGGGATAATTGTCGCATGCCACACACGCAACCTCTTTGGGTGCCAAGAGACGCACATAGCGCCCTGCGCAATAAAACTAAATACGGGACGGGAACACTTCGTACCAGCAGGGATGAAACAACTGGCGAATAAACAGTAGACGGTCAGTGGCACGCCAAACGCGGCTGCTGCTGCATTCTGCTTCACGACATACCACCCTTTTGAACAAAGAGAGAATGCGCGCCCTGCTTTTGTGGAGGAATATTGATGCCGGAGATTGCGTTCCCTTGATGGGCCTGAATACAGCCGGAATAAGCCCTCCTTCATCGCTTTTCTCGATAAATCATTCGTATGCCAAGCGATCGAAACAGAGGAAGCGGGCCTGCTGCTGTAGCCTCACGAGCTGGCGTCATATGTATGCATCTCGGGTCGTGTGTGGGGCATGGTCGTGGGGTCATATTTTTTTGAGGCCCGTAAACGGCGCAATCCAGCTGTCAAATTTCGTGTCATGAAGCGAGGGCCGCACCATTATTCCACATCTTTCCTCGATGGTTCCTCGGCCAGAGGCTAGGTAGCAAACGTAGGCCGAAGCAGAGCTGTTTCGGGGAAGGCAAGTCAACGCGGCGTCGGGTTGTGTGCGTCCGCACATCGAAGGAGAGCAAGGAGTGGCGGCAAAACCAGAAGCATTTTGAACCCCTCTCTAATGATCATCACTCAACCTCCAGGGGGGAAAGCACGATGGCGTCTCCCTCCCGGCCCCAAGAAAACGGACGCTGCGCGGCTTACCTGGTTACCGCACTGGCCTGTTGTTCGTCAGGTTTCCCGGCGCCCGACAAGGCCATTATGAGCAGCCGGAGGCATGGGCGGTCCGAGACACAGGGCGGGGCAGCGTGGCACGGCAGAGAGAGAAGAAAACAAGGGTCACTTACAGGGGCGAAGAGGAGAGAGAAGCACACACATGTTCGCACAAAAAGGACAACGTTGGTGGCCCCGTATGTCACATGCCCCCCTCACCTGCTTGAACGTGAACAATTTCTCGCCCCATGGCTTTGCTGCGTGTTGTTATTCTGAGCGTGTAGCAGGGCCAAGAGCGTGTGTGAGATGAAGGAGATGAGCGCGCCCTCTGTATGCGGAAAACACAACGGCTGTTTTTGTATTTCTGTATACCCCCCCTCCTGGATCTCAAAATATGAAAACTGAAGGGGGGGGGGGGCGGGGGGGGTAGGTCCCCTCCATCTCTCTTGTTCCCTCTCCATCTCTCTCTCTCACCGCCAGGCACTCCATCTGACCCTTCCCAGCACGCCCGTCCACCTTACCTCTACCTCAGCGCAACCATGAGGGAGATCGTCCACGTTCAAGCAGGTGATTTACTTTCTTCAGGGTCGATTTTGTGAGAAAGAGCTGCGTCGTCGCAATGGGCAACGATGTGTGTTGTGTGGCCGCTCTCCTCCCTATTCTTGCTAACGCCATGTCGCTGTCGAACTTCCCCCGCTGGCACACTGCGTTTGTCTCCTCGGCCACGCCGCCATCTACTTGCCGGACCATTGGGATACAACGACTTCAGGGCAGTGTGGTAACCAGGTGAGAGTTTGTTGTAATCGTCTCAGAGAGTGACCATTTTTGGTGGGGCAAGCAAGCGAGCGCCCAAACGCTTGTTTTTGAAATATGTATGTACCGCCGAGCTGTTTCCAATCCCGCCCGTGTACATGTGGGAGTGTGAGCGCCAGGCAACATCCCTCACGACCTTCTGATCTGCGAAGATGCCTGGCGTGGTCAAAGTGTATCAGGGTACGGCACAGGGTGTCGGCGTTTCCTCAGGTCCACCCGAACGATCTCATTGCAGCTGTCCCCTCTACACCGCGCAGCAGATGTTTCCCTCGCTTTTTTCTTGCCCAAACCGAAGGGGCACAACAACCTCCTCCCGCCATCATCATGCAACTTGCGCCATCGCATTTTTGCCTTATCAAGCAGCACGCCCTTGAAATAACAGCGAGGTGGCGCCCCATGGGTCTGTGTCGGTGATGCATCTAATGGCCCTCGCAATCATCCTTTTACGCGTTAACATCTTTGCACCTCCTGGTTGGGTATGCTATCGCTTCCGACATTCTTGCGCTCGATCAAAAAAAAAAAATCGCGCTGTTCTCTCTCTCTACGGCTTGTTGATGACATCGCGTTTCTGTGTGATCCTCTCCTGTCTTGCTAGGAGTACTTTTCAAAGCGGCTCGCTTGAGTCCCAGGTTTTTGCCGCTATTCCCACACTGTATTTAGCCTCCTATTCGCGAGGTCGCTAGCGAAGCCCGTCGACTTTTGAATAGATGCTCTCCACGTCATGGCGGCACCAGAGGCCCAGAGGGCAGCTCGGCTCCGGACGTCCACGCATAAAAACTACAACGGCTGTTTTTGAAATTCGAAGAATGTGTGCGTGGATGGAAAGGGGACGGTTGGGCATTTTTTTTTGCGGGGGCACGGAGCGCGTACCACCGCTTTCTCTCTGCACGCGAATGGTGTATTGGCTCTGCTTGAAATATTCATGGGGTTTGGTAAAGCTTGGTGATAATACAGTAGTCACGTGGTATTCAACGACTCTCTGTTTGAGAGGAACACCGATACAAGTACCTGTTGAACATGCACAGAAGTGCATGCCCCGCTCGATGTCTGTACTCGCCACTTGACGTCACTGAGCATTGAACGACAGCGCGACACGTCGAGTCGTGTCATGATTGATATTTAATTTTTTTTGTTCGCGTTCGTCCTCGAAATGCTTTGTGTGTGACGCCGGCTGATATGCATGCGTCAACCATACACCCAGGTGTTTAGACCTTCGTCACAATAAATGGGACGGGCACACACACGCGGCTCCGAGATCAAAATACAGGTCACTGCTGTGTAGAAGCTCGTTCTCCCTCACGACGCAATAATCGAGCTTGCTTCTTTTGTAGACCTGCATCAAGGCACATACCCACAACATGTACATAACACGCCCTTGAAAAAATATCTGCCTGGGACTGCGATACGCCCTCCATCAAGGGCATTCAGACTTGTTCCATCATTCGCGGAGAGGGGAATGGCCGCTTGGAGTATTTGACGGCAAGATGTTTCGACTTTTTTCTACGAGCAACAATTGCACCGATGCGTCATCTATCGGCGGAAACATGCGCGAAGATCGCAGTACAAAGTTTGCTATACGTCATTTCGCCAATTAATCAGTTGATCTTGGTTCCATGTGGGCAAATCAATTCCAGATTTTCGCAGGGTCGCGGTTGCTCAGAGCTTCGAGAGTCAACAGCAAGAGGCATACGTAGTCCGGAAAACTTCGGGATAGAAGAGAAACACGCCTCCGAACCATGGTACCCTCCTCCTAGTCCGCTGTTCGATAGAAACACGAGGGGATTAAAAACCAACAGCGTGGCCCAAGTGGGTGGCTGCCGGTTGACTCGCTTCGAGGGTTGGTCGCAAAGCCTCCTCTCACGCCGTGTTCGGCGACAAGTACTCACGCGTAAGCACAATTACTTACCAACCACGATGCGCCACCATATGACACGTATTAGCGTGCCAGCCAAGAACAACTTCACACCAGAACACCTGTCCAACAGTCCCGTCAATTTTTCGTCTATCGTCATCGTCTCCCGCTCCTGCGCAGATCGGTTCCAAGTTCTGGGAGGTGATCTCCGACGAGCACGGCATCGACCCCACCGGTGTCTACCACGGTGACTCCGACCTCCAGCTCGAGCGCATCAACTGCTACTTCAATGAGGCCACCGGCGGCCGCTACGTGCCCCGCGCCATCCTCATGGACCTCGAGCCCGGAACCATGGACTCGGTGCGCGCGGGGCCCTTCGGGCAGCTGTTCAGGCCTGACAACTTCGTGTTCGGGCAGACCGGCGCGGGTAACAACTGGGCCAAGGGCCACTACACGGAGGGCGCGGAGCTGATCGACTCGGTGCTGGACGTGGTGCGAAAGGAGGCGGAGTCTTGCGACGCGCTCCAGGGCTTCCAGCTGACCCACTCCATGGGAGGCGGGACCGGAGCGGGTATGGGCACGCTGCTCATCTCCAAGGTGCGGCGGCGGGGGTACCGTTTTGGCTGTGAATCGGCGTGGTGCGGTTGTTTTTGCCTGGATTTTGTTTGGGTGCTTCAACCCGGTTGAAGGTTGGCGGCTCCCCGCTGACTGATCTGTAGCAGCGCGTAGTGTTTCCTACGTACCACGTTCATGGCGTATGTACATGGTTTGACGATGACGACGGGTCCACGCAGTTCCTTGTTGCCCTTCCTGAGGTTTCGGTGACGTTCGTGGCATTTAGTTTGTCGATGACGATGTGTTTGGTGTAGGCGCGCTGCCTGTGGTTGTGGCTTCTGCCCGTCGTTGTTTTGTTTGTTGCACGTGTTGACCGGCCATCCACTCTTGTCCCTGACGAAAACCTTCCTGTACAACCTACCATAGTCGTGGTCCCAATTAGCGGTCCAGAGTGGCGCAAAATGTTATCACCACTGTTGAGGACGTCGCCGCTCAACTGGATTGACGTTTATTCAGTAGTTGGGCTACCGGGGTGCAGCAGTGCCACGAGATTTTGGAACCGCTGTTCAAGACATCCCGCAACACGTACTACTACTATGGTGCTCCCCCGGAAACATGCAACCTTGGTCCTGGATAACTTCAACACCCGGCTAAGTTGTAACTTGTTTGCAAACGAAATGACGGGTTGAGCAGCGCCCTTTTCTTGGCTTGTTTCCTATTGCTTTTGTTGATTTGACACACCGCGGTAGGTCATGTTGGTAATTCGGTCCCCTGTTCATGAATGTATTATTGGCGAGTCGGGCAGTCGAAAAACGTCTCCGTGTGGCGCCGAGCCGAACGCTATTATTTGTGTGGTTTTGACGTACAGCGCATTCGTTTGGTTTCCAAAACCTGTGCTCACTGATGTGGTGGTGTTTCTGACCCCACTTTCGACCCTGGCCCACACAACAAATCAACAGGTTCGCGAGGAGTACCCGGACAGGATCATGTCCACCTACTCGGTCATCCCTTCCCCCAAGGTGTCCGACACCGTTGTCGAGCCCTACAACGCCACCCTCTCCGTGCACCAGCTGGTCGAGAACGCCGACCAGTGCTTCACCCTCGACAACGAGGCCCTCTACGACATCTGCTTCCGCACCCTCAAGCTCACCACGCCCACCTACGGTGACCTGAACCACCTCGTGTCGGCCGCCATCTGCGGCACCACGTGCTCCCTCCGCTTCCCCGGGCAGCTCAACTGCGACCTCCGCAAGCTCGCAGTCAACATGGTGCCGTTCCCCCGGCTGCACTTCTTCATGATCGGGTTTGCTCCGCTGACCTCTCGCGGCTCCCAGCAGTACCGCGCCCTGACGGTGCCAGAGCTGACCCAGCAGTGCTTCGACTCGAAGAACATGATGTGCGCCGCCGACCCCCGGCACGGCCGATACCTGACGTGCGCCGTCATGTTCCGTGGCCGTATGTCTACCAAGGAGGTGGACGAGCAGGTGAGGGTGACCGCAGTTTCTTTTTCTCGTTCTTTCTTGTACGGTTGTGGTCAACGATTTTGGCCGCGTATTCCGTAGGAGGCGGACGGGTGGCACTCCCCGTATACCCTAGACTCTCAAAGCTCGGTTGCAACTCAACGAAGTGGGTGCTGGACGGGTCCTGATGCGTCAACGGAGTCCTCGATGAAATGCTCCAAGAGCCACCATTTGCGGTGTTGGCACGATCTATGTTGAGAATCAATCGAGCTTTGAAAATCGGTCCCTCCGCCTACAACGGTAAGCATGACTGGTCGCCCTGTATTTATTGCTCGATGGGGCGGTTGTGCGGGTCGTTGAGGCGTTTCTCGGGCGACCTTGTTTTGTTTTCGTGTTTTGGGCTGTCCGGTGGCCCGATTCGCCCGTGCTGTTGGCCACGGTGGGTCTGCGTTTGGTTGTTGATTGTGTGTCATTCCGGGCTGTCCTTACGGTAAGGTATTGCTTCCTGGGTGAATCCCCGAGGTGAGCTCACCCTAGAGGGGCCGCAACCGACAGGCGTTTTCTACACTTGGCTCTCGGAGCGCTGAGGTACGCATGAACCAACTTGCGTGTT